TCAGAACATCAGAGCTGGTTCGGAAAATTCTCAATTTTTTGATGAAGATCGTCATCTGTAAAGACAATAAACATGCAGTTTGGATTTGGTGTGGCAACTGTACACAGCATTATTAATGAAGATCTGAACATGCACAAAATTAGGGCAAAGTTTGTTCCCGGTGTGCTCAATGACGAACAGAAGGATAGACGCATTGGTGACAGCAGGTAGATGATTGGTACTTATCAAAACTGCCACTTACCCTCACTAAAGTTCAGACTTTGGTTCCTGTGACTTTTGATTGTTCTTTAAACTGAAGAAGATTTTCAGTGGAAGTCGTTTTAAAAGCATTGGAACAAGAAAGAGGCTGTCACGAACGTCTTGGACGACTTCACGGAGGTACTCGGGTACCAAAACAAGTGCATAGGATATTACTTTGAAGGCGAGCTATATACTTCTTTGAAAATGATAAATATCTCTCCTGAAAAAGTCTTAAAACTTCTGGAATGCACATAGTAAAATGAAATGAAAAAGAAAATGGTTTTAAAATTTACATATTATTATTTTTATCCAAGCGGTTGATTAAATTAATGTAAGATGACAGAGAGAGGGGAGGAGGAAGACGCCGATATGATCGAATTTAGAGAGGGAAGGGAGAGATAGGAATATGTTTAAATCTATCCTTTTTAAGATACGTAAATGTAAGGGTGGTAGGGTAGGTTGCCAGATATTTTGACCTATTTGACAAGTCCTTTCACAAGAAAAAGGAAAGAAAACAACAGAAAAGTAAAGGGGAAAGATAAGACATAATAGAAAACAAATGGGGAAGCAGGGGTGGGGGAAAGGGAGAAAAAGAAAAGAAAGAAGAAATTATCATATATTGGCATATTGCGGTTAATTTCAAAAATACAGATTAATATAATTTACAGTTAACACTTGACATTATTTTAAAGATTACCAACAAAATAAAATAAAAGAAAAAAGAAAAATATTATTAATATTAATAATATTGATAAAACTAATAATTTAAAGTTAAAATTTAAAGTTAAAATTTAAAGTTAAAATTTAAAACAACTTAAAAATTTCGAATAGTATCGAAAAAATAATATTGAAAAATATGGAAAGAATAATATTAATAATAATAATAATAATTATAATAATATATACACAAATATATACTTATAAATATATACTTATAATTATAAATATATACTTATAAATATATACTTATAATTATAAATATATACTTATAAATATATACTTATAATTATAAATATATACTTATAAATATATACTTATAATTATAAATATATACTTATAAATATATACTTATAATTATAAATATATACTTATAAATATATACTTATAATTATAAATATATACTTATAAATATATACTTATACACATATACACAGAGAAATATATACGTGAATACAATTACAGATATAACAACAGATATAACTATAGACATAACTACATATATAAACACTTACATATACATACACACACAACACGCAAATATATATGTATACACACGCAAATATATATCTATACACCCGCACACATATGCATACATATACACAGACATTAATTTTACATAACTATTAACAAAAATTTGCAAAAGGTAAATATTTTTGATAAAAATATTAAGATTCAGCAGAGTTTAGAGAAAATATAGAAAATATTGAAATTAAGATTTTTCTGACATTAGTGGTTATTATGATAATAATAATAATAATAATAATAATAATAATAATAATAATAATAATAATAAATCTGAAAATAATAATAATAATAATAATAATAATAATAATAATAATAATAATCAAATAAAATAATAATCATAAAAATGGAAAGTCTGGCGTAAAATAAAATAATAATTTAATAATAATAATAATAATAATAATAAGCTCAAAAGAAAATAAACCATAAATGGATGAAAATATGTGGAAATTGAAATGAAAAAAATGCTTGGAAATTGAAAACAAGAATACGATCGCTACAACAAACTTCCTCTATTAGTTTAGACCCTGCTGTAACAATAAAAGATTTAGAACAAGGTGCTTATAAGTACCCTAGGTGTAAATGAATTATAAAAATGGAACAAAACGACTGGTATTAAAACTGAATTGAAAGAAACAGAATTATGGCAATTAATAAATCCCCCAGTTTCAACATCTTGAACTGGACTCTAAATGACATCAGACAAAAAATTGTCTTATTAAGTGCATCATCCAAAGGCACACACACTAAGGTGGAGAATTTGTCTATGTAACAACTAGCTTACTAACTTCATCGGATGAAAAAAAAAAAAAAAATTAAAGGCAAAATAACATTACATTTAGTAGATTCTGTAGTAAATCAAAACAACAAGAACCAACTATTGCAGCAAAAAGATATGAAACCTGCCTAAAGCCCTTGAACAGATGAAACAACGTCTTTCCAATATCCAGAACGTGCAAATAAACCCAATGTTGATAAAGTTAATACTCATCGATGGTTACGAGCATCTGGATTAAAAAGTCTGAAACTGAAGTGTGTCCACTCAGAAATTTTCAGGCAAATAATAATAATAATGTGGATCCAAAATAATAATAATAATAATAATGCCCCAAATGAAATAAAATAATAATAATAATGGACAATGCAAAACTTTGGAAAATAACTGGTATGAACATAGCGCCGGTTACAGAAATAATCATCAATGGGAAGGAATCCACACAGACAGAAAAATTGAAGCAAATAGGCCGGACATTAAAAACCAGAAAGAAAAAAACTAATCTAATTGATATGGCTTGTCCAGCGGATTGTAACAAGCATGAAAAGGATAATTTAGATCAGTTATAATACATTTAACCATATGAATTATAAAAAATCATTGAAAGTACACATATGTATACACACACTAGGAGAACACGCTAATAATATACATAGAACCCACGACACAGACAGTGTGTCCATAGCAGAAATAATAATAATAATAATAATAATAATAATAATAATAATAATATATATAATACAATGAAAGGAATAACGGTAGAGTAGTAATAATCATGAAAAGGATAATATTAGATCAGTTATAACACATTTAAGCATATCATACACATATGTATACTACACACACACACACAAAATAATATACATAGCACACACACATATATATATATACACAAATATATATATCTATGCATATACATATATATATATATATATATATATATATATGTATATAAATATACATATATATATATATATATATATATATATATATTTATATGCATACACATACATGTGTATATTTATAAATACCAAATTACCACCTACAAATATAGTAATGATCCTCTAGTTACATATACAAGCCAGCCCACATTCACACGTCATATATCATTATTATTATTATTATTATTATTATTATTATTTCTGCTATGGACACACTACCTACCAAGTCTGCGGAAAGACCTAAGGCAGGTCGTGGTGTGTTATTAAATACATTTCATGTTAATTTTTTTTTTTTTTTTTTTTATCTTACATAGACAAAGTTCTCCTTAGTGTGTGTGCTGTACTTAATAAGACAATGTATGTCTCGCTGGGGTTTGGATTCTTTCAATGTGTTGTTTTGTTCCATTTTATAATCACCTATTACCACTGGTATTATTCTTGTTTTCAATTTCCACATTTTTTATTTCAAAGGTCTTTGTATTTTTTTCAAATTCCTTGGTTGCTATGTTTTCCGCTGACATATCAATTAGTAGGCAAGTTTTTTTTTCTGGTTTTTGACAATAATGTCCGGCCTATTTGCTTCAATTTTTCTGTCTTATTATTATTATTATTATTATTATTATTATTATTATTATTACAAACGTTATTTTCAGTAAGAACAGTTCTAGCACATGTGAATTGTTTAGAAACTAAACCACCTTCCATTTAGACTTCAACGAGCATGCCGTCATGGACTTCATTTAAATCAGGTTTCATTGCAATTAAATCACTGAAATGCCATAGACTGATTAGAAATTTGCATAAAATGCAATTTTCAGGAGTACTTAATGAAGTATACAGTCATTGTTTTACAATATATATATATATATATATATATATATATATATATATATATATATATATATATATATATATCATTTATTTTAGGATATTGCATCGAAAACATGTCACCATCGCTACACAATTGCAGTCGTGTTTAATTGCGTATCAAATGTATCTCATCAGGCTATTGTAAATTACTGGTGAGTGAACGATTTATTTAGAATTAAGAGCAAACTACAAAAATAAAAGTGGGGTATAAGGTTTGAACCTCATGTTTTTCTTTTCGAAACACGACTGCAGTTGTATAGCGATTTTGACAGGGTTTTGGTGTAACATCCTAAAGTTGCTCTATTTTGTATTGAGCCCTCATTTAAATTAAATGTTACGACCATTGGAATTATACTCTATTCCTTCTCATCTTACCTGGATATATATATATATATATATATATATATATATATATATATATATATATAGAGAGAGAGAGAGAGAGAGAAAAAGAGAGAGAGCAGAGGCGAATGAATCTTGAAGCAAGCGAAAGAAATGCTTGCACAAGTTAATTGATCGGCATAGTCATAGATACAAAAATGTTTTCTATTCTTGATGCTAAATATTCAGGAAATCCTAGAGAAAATGTTTTGACACTAGTAGTCTATTCAATCTGTATACACAAATGTCTTTGAAACAACATCTGAAAAGTGTTTTTTGATTGATTAATTTCTTCTAAGGCTTATCAACACATTGAAGGCTATTTACAGCCAGAAAATGTTTTTGATTGTAAGAATTCTTTTTTTTTAAATAATAATGATTTAGTGATACAAATCTCACTAATTAACCCATAGTGGGGGGGATGGTAAAAGAAGCGGATTCCTACCTTTCCCAAGAGTATTTGCGCTTATGTGAATATAACTAAACGAACTTGGTTGTCCGATTAAAATTTCCGAGCCTTTTACCCATTACACCACCTGCCTATCTAAGTTTGTAGCACCTGGTATTCCCAAGGGGTTACCCATCTAGGTACTGACCTGACGCGATGTTGCTTAACGTCGGTAATCGTTCGAAAACTGGTGTTTGAACGTGATGTGGCCGAAACATTCGGAGTGCGTTTCTGTTTTACGCAAACGTGTTTGTCCCCAATTTCCGGCATGAAGTCACTTATTCAGATCGAATATGCATTAGCAATAATGATCATCGTTAATGGGCATTTTAATTCTGCGCCCTTGTTTTTAAGAAGGAAACTGAATTGTTATTAGAAATACATTGACAGCTTGCAGCGCGTCCGCGGTTGATTAAGAGTCGACATGCCAAGAAAATGAACATCTTCGACACTTTCAGACGACGTGAGTAGGGAACCTTGGGCGAGGTAGACACCATATCTCGTAATTTGCTACAATAAAACATATGAGTGTATGTGTGTCTGTATGTGTGTCTGTGTGTGTGTCTGTGTGTCTGCGTGTGTCTGTGTACGTGTGATTTTCTCTTTTTATTGTTCTTGTGAGTTTCTTTCATTTTGCCCTTGTACATTAGATTTTTCCATTTTGATTTGTTCAATAGTATTCCTTTGTTTTTTTAAATTGCTTTCAGTGTTTCAATTTTTTTTCTTTTTTGATCTTCCCATTCTTTCTTTCTTTCTTTCTTTCTTTCTTTCTTTGTAATTCAGATATCACTATGAAATCACCAAAGATCTTTTTTTGTATATCTCTCCCCCTTTCTCTTTATAATTTACATGTTTAAATGTCTAAATTCACTAGATTTTTTCTTTCATTCTTCTCCTCCCTTTTCTTTCCTTTCCCTTGTTTCTTCTTTCTTTCTTTCTTTCTTTCTTTCTTTTGTATATTTGTTTCTTCCTTTCTACGGGATGTGTTACTTTTCCTTTATTGATTTTTTTCACCAAGTCTTTTTTGTGGAATGGCAAGAGGACGGGCTTTCTCGGTCTTCTTTCTTTTTACTGTAATTATATTTTCTTTCTTTCTTTCTTTCTTTCTTTCTTTCTTTCTTTCTTTCTTTCTTTCTTTCTTTCTTCATTAATTTTCTACTTTCTATTTCGTTCTTTCTTTCTACAATATACATATTTCTTTCTTTTATTTTGTTCATTCTTTCAACTTTCCCTTTATTTGCTGATCTTCAACATCACATTTTTTTTCAAATGTCGCTTTGTTTGGCTCTATCTTTCAAATGCGTCTTTCTTTCTTGTTAATGTGTCGAAATTTTATTTAATTCTCACTACCCCTCTCATTCCACTTGACCTTATTAAATATCATGCTAGTATAACTTTTTTCAAATTTTCTTCTTTCTTTTCTTTTTCTCTATTTCGACAGCTCTTCCTTCTCTATCTTATTTTCTTTCTATTTTCCTTCAACTATTTCCTAACTCCTACCCTTTCAAACGCTCATTTTCTTTCATTCTTTCTTTCATCCTTCCTTCCTTCCTTCCTTCCATCCTTCCTTCCTTCCTTCCTTTATTTATTTACACTCTTTGACTTGTATTACGTTATATTTCCATTAAAAAACATTTTTTCATCTTCCGATTTCTTTATTTCTTCTGTCGCATTTTCCTTCTTTTTTTTTGCGTACTTTTGACTGAAATACCTCAGCTTTTCACTCGTCTCAGCGTCTAATCAGTTCTTCAAATACAGCCAAAGGGTCCTGTTCCGGATCTATTGTAGCAGTCGTCTCAGACACCTGTTAATTCGCCCTGCTTACGGGCAACTGTCGAAGCCGGAATCAACTAAATATCAATGGAGCCCATCTTATTTTTCCGATCAGAAAAGAAGACATCTGACGTGCATAATTGCCACTAAGTGTCACACGTTGCAGTTCTGTTTTTTCAGCTTCTTTATTCATGTGTTTTCGGCGATACTTCAGGGTAAATAGGGCGTTAATTGTTTTGCGATTAAGAGTAAAGCTAGTGAACAATGACTGTCGTTCAAAGAATATAAGGAATCTTGCAAAAGTAAAGTAGTTGATATTTAAAACTTTTAGTATATGTGAAAGTCACTCAGCTAGAGAAAAAAACATACTATTATTTTCATATAAGTTCATCTGAAGATATATGACATTTATTGTTATATAGGGCGTGACGGCAAGTCTGTGATATCGACAATGAATGTGTGGTACGTGTAATGGACGGCAAGTCTGTGATATCGACAATGAATGTGTGGTACGTGTAATGGACGGCAAGTCTGTGATATCGACAATGAATGTGTGGTACGTGTAATGAACGACAAGTCTGTGATATCGACAATGAATGTGTGGTACGTGTAATGGACGGCAAGTCTGTGATATCGACAATGAATGTGTGGTACGTGTAATGGACGACAAGTCTCTGATATCGACAATGAATGTGTGGTACGTGTAATAGACGGCAAGTCTGTGATATCGACAATGAATGTGTGGTACGTGTAATGGACGGCAAGTCTGTGATATCGACAATGAATGTGTGGTACGTGTAATGGACGGAAAGTCTGTGATATCGACAATGAATGTGTGGTACGTGTAATGGACGGCAAGTCTGTGATATCGACAATGAATGTGTGGTACGTGTAATGGACGGCAAGTCTGTGATATCGACAATGAATGTGTGGTACGTGTAATGGACGGCAAGTCTGTGATATCGACAATGAATGTGTGGTACGTGTAATGGACGGCAAGTCTGTGATATCGACAATGAATGTGTGGTACGTGTAATGAACGACAAGTCTGTGATATCGACAATGAATGTGTGGTACGTGTAATGGACGGCAAGTCTGTGATATCGACAATGAATGTGGTACGTGTAATGGACGACAAGTCTGTGATATCGACAATGAATGTGTGGTACGTGTAATAGACGGCAAGTCTGTGATATCGACAATGAATGTGGTACGTGTAATGGACGGCAAGTCTGTGATATCGACAATGAATGTGTGGTACGTGTAATGGACGGAAAGTCTGTGATATCGACAATGAATGTGTGGTACGTGTAATGGACGGCAAGTCTGTGATATCGACAATGAATGTGTGGTACGTGTAATGGACGGAAAGTCTGTGATATCGACAATGAATGTGTGGTACGTGTAATGGACGGCAAGTCTGTGATATCGACAATGAATGTGTGGTACGTGTAATGGACGGCAAGTCTGTGATATCGACAATGACTGTGTGGTACGTGTAATGGACGGCAAGTCTGTGATATCGACAATGAATGTGGTACGTGTAATGGACGGCAAGTCTGTGATATCGACAATGAATGTGGTACGTGTAATGAACGACAAGTCTGTGATATCGACAATGAATGTGTGGTACGTGTAATGGACGGCAAGTCTGTGATATCGACAATGAATGTGTGGTACGTTTAATGGACGGAAAGTCTGTGATATCGACAATGAATGTGGTACGTGTAATGGACGGCAAGTCTGTGATATCGACAATGAATGTGTGGTACGTTTAATGGACGGAAAGTCTGTGATATCGACAATGAATGTGTGGTACGTGTAATGGACGGCAAGTCTGTGATATCGACAATGAATGTGTGGTACGTGTAATGGACGGCAAGTCTGTGATATCGACAATGAATGTGTGGTACGTGTAATGAACGACAAGTCTGTGATATCGACAATGAATGTGTGGTACGTGTAATGGACGGCAAGTCTGTGATATCGACAATGAATGTGTGGTACGTGTAATGGACGATAAGTCTGTGATATCGACAATGAATGTGTGGTACGTGTAATGGACGGCATGTCTTTGAGATCGACAATGAATGGGTGGTACGTGAAATTGATAGCGTCTTAGAATAATAAATCAGAAAGCCAAGTTCGAATTGCAGTCGCGTTCATTATATTCACCAATGCACAAATACACTTGGGAATTGTATGTATCCATCTTTTCCCGCCAGCTATGGGTTAAATATTAGGTCTTTTATCTTCATAAATCTTTCTTATTCTTAAAAGATTGTGAATGCAATTATTTTATTTGTTAAAACCCAAAATATATATTTTGCTTTTAGATAAATGCTTGACAAACGGTAAGAAACAAAGCAATCAACAAGCAAAATCTCCAGTTGGCCTTTTAGTATTCTTACTTATAAAGTATTTCATGAAAGAGGTGGCTTCGGGTTTTTATTGATGAGATACCGTTGGCTGACAGTAAAGGAAAGCGAATAGAAAAGAAAAAACTTATTATAAATTTCAGAAGACACAATGTCGGGTCATTAGAAAGAAATACAAACCAAGATGTAAGCTAAAAATTGTAGACATCAGAATAAAGAAAGTATAAATGGTTGGCCGCCTGGGAAATATCGTAACAGACAATAGAAAATGCGACACAGAAATCCCAAGGAATATATTAAACGCATAAGATTTCTTCCAAAACTAAGCACTGTATTAACAAACAAGAACATTTCGTAAGAAACAAAGATAACAATGTTCCCTCTGTTTCATATATATATATATATATATATATGATAAAATTATATATATATATATATATATATATATATATATATATATATATAATAATTTTATCATATAGACAAAACCATTTTGTTCACTAAAAGATGCAACTTGGTTTCAGTGAATTTCAACTGCACTTCGACGCGTGAGAATCGAAAATATTTTCGGTTCTCACCTGTCGAAGTGCAGTTTAAAACACTGAAACCAAGTTGCATCTTTATAGTGAGTAAAATGGTTTTGTTTATATGATAAAATTATAATAAATAAATAATTATCGCTCTACTATCTGTATCGAGCCCTCTTTTAGATTAATGCTGTGAACGTTGGAATTTATATATTACTTTTTCGTTCTCATCGCATATATATATATATATATATATATATATATATATATATATATATATATATATATATATCAACCCTTCTCCATTTCCTTACACATGGTGAGGAACCTTCAGGTAACGGACATTTAGTTCGACAGAAGAATTCTGAGAACACAATACACGGAACTTGTCAGCTACACAAAGTTAAGGAAAATTGGAACGAATGGTTCACTTTTGACAGTTGGGGCATACTGTTAAATGATAGTTTAGGGGACTATTATTTTTAGGGAGAATTGTATCTCAACTCTTCCGGAGGTTGACCTTCGATGTCAGATA